CCTTTTACTATATATGAATACTTATTTTGCATATCCATAGTAAAATACAATTTCTGTACCAATAATAGTGTATTTCACTATAACTTTACAAATTAAAAGTACTAAACATATCCAGAGTCACAGAATATGTATTTGTTCTGCGTCTTTGTAGTTGTGTTGACCTTTTTGATAAAATGCAGCCTTTGTGTATGATTTTATTTTAATTTCCTCTTAATGCAACTCAGTAAAGCTCAGGTCTCTGGCTGTCCTGCAAAATATCCCCATAAAATTAATCAAGAGACCTTAACAACATTAATTGTTTATACTTTCTTTGGTTTTGAAAACAGATGATTTATGATAATAGGTTTAAGCTCTTGTTTTTTCCATCCTTACAAACATTTTGCCTACAGTGTATAAGCTGCTATCCTTAGACAAGGTCTATTGATTTGGTTTTATTGCTACACATATTCACACCTTGTACTGCCTCTAGTGTACAGAGCCCTCTAAACAGCTACACCTCTTTACTTATACAGTAAATATTATACAGTACATTATCACTAGTTAATATACTGTAGTAAAATAATTGATTTCAGCTTTTTCAAATGCTCCTTTTTTTGCTGGAGTTTTTACATTACAAAACTCAATTTTATTTAAGTATGAATATATTGCTTCCTCACTATATTATAATGTAGCTCATGCTGCTAAACAGCATGGCCTAGTTAAAGTTAAGTGCACCATGAGTGAATTAGAAATTTAAATTACAAATCACACAAGTTAAATGGTCATTTACTGTATACCGAAGCGCAAATGAATAAAACAGTAGCAGTAGCTTAATAAATGTTATAAGGAAACAATATAAACGTGTGCTTATTGTGTTGAAGTACCAGATAATTATGTTAATTCATTATAGCCTATAAAACCTGTAGATTGAGTCTTAAATCCCTTTCATTTCCTTGGAAAAAATGTTACTTTGTGTGTCACAGTTGTTAACAAGTTCATCAAGAGAGTGTTCTGCTATATACTGTATATTCAAGCAAACATTGCATTCTTTATCGTATGCTCACAACTGTAGTTATATAAATATATGCTGAGCCTCTACCCTTTGTAGAGATCAATACATTTAGAATAAGAGCATACCAGCAGAGTTTTAAAATACACATGATTAAAGATTTATTCTGGCATTTATGGTCTGAGATATCAAATACATTGAAGACTGAAGAATGCAGATCATCAAATGGTCATCAATAGCTACAAATGGTTTAGCGCCAATTTTGTGAATAATTAGTTCATGATGCATATTTCATTATTAATACATTGTGCTAATTACTTTTATTGCATTTATGATGATTGACAGAGTTAGAACTGAGCCCCACTTGCTTGGAGGTGTGAGCAACATTGTCTTTCTGTGCTTCTGTGTCATTTGAGAGGGTCATGGCTGAGTTAATGTGTACCAGAATGCTATCCATCACATTACAGCCACTGAACTGATTTTACAAACTGAAGTTTGACATTTCCTATATTCTCCTTAATCAGAGGAAGCAACAACATATCTGAATTATGAATACACAGTAGTAATTCCTTCCGGTTCTTTACACATGCAGATGATTTGTGATGTACCGTGCTGTTTGGAAAGTATCCTATGTAAGAAGTTCCCCGGTTTTGCCATGAGTCTAGAATTTTGTCAATTTAGCAATTGTCTGTTTTTAATTACTATCATTGGCTAAATATCCAAAATGGCATATTAGTAAATAAGAGTTGAAATGAAACATAAGTAATTTAATATGTGTAGCTGAAACGTGGTGAGAATATCTTGATTTTTCTGCAATACTCATTATGAATGAAAAATAATTCCTGTTTTAAATAGCAACCTTAAGGAATATTACACAATTTATTTTTGTATCTAATTTTACAGATAGATTATTGCTGTAAATATACATTATTATCTAGGCTCTCTTTATGTACAAAGGGCCTACCTCTAAATGTTCTGTTATTTTACTAAATAAAAGTGTACAATTAGTTTTATTGTATTTATTTATGTTTTACTGAACATTTAATTAGACATTGGAGAATTTCATAATATAGCTACACCAAAATCAGTGCAACTGCACTGCTTTTTTCCATACTCTTGTAAACCACCACAAGTTGGGTGAAGTTGTCAGTTTACAAATAAATTATTAAGAACGACATTGCAGATTTTAATGATCTTCCTGACAAGGATCACACTTTTTTTATTAATTTGTTTTGCCACAGCTTATTTTCAATGCATTATAGAGTTGTCTTGATCATCAAATTCCCTGTGACAATGCTTTTGCTCCTAAAGCTGTCATTGCTGTATCACATTGTCTACAATAATGATAATGTGTGAGAATTTATTCCAGTAGTTTAATATGCATCTGCAAGCAGCAGCGTGTTACATTATAATATGAATGTGTTATCAATTTGAGGATTTCAACATGTTTACTTGATATGATCAAAATCAGATTTTGATTTTGATCATATCCAAAAAATGAGCTTGCGCTCTATTGATACAATGGTAGTATTACTAGTATATGTTATTATTAGGAAAGAGTTACAAAAAACAAATCAGAAGAAGACAGAGCCATTCTTACCCAGAATTATGATGAACTTTGCAGGATGAACAGGCCCAGTACATCACCATCGTAGTACAAATAAAACAGTAAATATTTTGAAGTAGTGCCGTGTAATTATTTAGAACTCAATTCTGATAATGTGAAGACACAAACTGTTTCCCGAGAGAAGAAATATACAGCTTAAAGTAAAGTGGCATTTCTAGTGTTGTACATCTCTATCAGTGATCTGAGCAGATTGTCCAAGCTTTATTTCACTAGAAAGTAACACTTCAACACCTGACATAGCTCCCTGGGTGAGACCTGGATATCCATCTTTACTATCTATAAAGCCATAGCTATTGCCACTGAGGGGAAACCCCTCCACATGTAGCCAGAAAACATGTGATATGCCTGCATTTCAGAGAATAAGTGAAATAAGTGCGAGTAGAAATGCAAATTAAATACCGTCAAATACAAAATAAGCATGTACGTAGCATGTATTTTAATAGGTTTTGAAATACTTTGAATTAACTTAAGGGGGCTCAAACTCCACATGACAGACTGGAATCCTATAACAAGACCCCTTTATGAGAGTTAAAGGTCCAATCATATTGCTGCTTTTCTTGGGTGCACTTGTTAAGCAGTGAAACAATATAAGTTAGTGTTCACGATCAGAAGCTTTTAGCAATTTCTGTCTAAATAGGAATTTTTTATCTTCACTTTTGAATAATGGAATAATTCTGCTACCGGAAATGAAGGTTAACATGCTGCCGGTGAGTGAGATATTGTATTATTCTGAATTTTAATAAAACTGCTTGTTTTGTTATTTAAGTTATTTAATTATGCTTGAATAATCTCCAGAGGGAAATGTTCAGCGTTGCCTAATTCTGGATTCACAGAGAAATTTATAGAAAGACAGAAGCACAGAAACTGACTGCAGAGTTCAGGAGGGGGTAACTGATTCAAACTTATAACGCTGCTCTACGTGGCCAAGTAGGCAAACTGTAAGCGTAGTTCAGGACCCTATGCAGACGGTATAATCCGGGAGTAAGTGGAGAAGGGAAAAGACGTAGAGGATCAGGACGGGTGGACAGACGTGGGGGCGTGACTACGGTGATCCGGTGCTCGGGGGGCGTGGCGTAGGCAAACAAGTCCAAACAGTCCAAGGGGCAAATCCGGGGCGCAGTCCAGGAACCGGGGGATCCATCCAAGATGAGACAAACAAGGTTAAAAACCGGAATGGGATCCGGAACAGGAACAGATTTTTTCTTGTCATTTGATAGTATTTCGTCCTTTAAGGTTTATTTCTAAGGTGATGAATAATTTGTGTTTTGTACTTTGACATCAGTCTTTTTGAGTTCTGTTCCTGTCTAACTGTTGTTGATCTGAGTTTAATACATGCTTCATTCATCAGTATTGATACATACCTTAATAAAAGTAAAAACAATCAATAGGGCCTGTTCTTCTTACATCAGTATATTTCACATGGCAGGCGATATGACAGGCGATTATGGGGCAATGTCAGGGTAATGCATCAATACAGCACTGCACAAAAACAGAATTGACTTCTGTTGCTGTGATAAATCTGTGCTTGTGAAAAACAAAATGTGCTTGATCCCAAATCTTTGCCATTTTTCAAAATCCCAAAAATACACTTAATGAAGGGTTGATTTGTTTTTCCCTTTAAACCTGTGCAGCTGGGCAGCATGATTGTTAAACACATGTTTTCCTGGCATGGTCTTTATTGTTGGAAGGAAGTGCAAAAAGATGTTAATTGCTGTAGACTTGTGAATGGGATGGTTCACGCCAAGGACTGACCTTGGCATGAACATGAAACAGGACTCATTGGCGTTGAGCGTGTTACTGAAGGTGACATTACATCCTTGGAACCTGTGTTGAAATGACCTGGCTGGATTCTCATTTTGCAGAATTCGCCTCAGTCAGGGCACAGTGTGCCAGTCAAGCCAGAAGGGCACAGCAATGACCACGTGCTGGTGATGCGGGCTGAGCTGCACTCGCTGCCTTACAGTGATGCCATTCCTCCGAGCATGAGAAGTGTGGGATATGAGCGTACGCGTGATAAAGCCTTGAGTTATGGTCATGACCACAGTGAGAGAATGTGAAGTTTCCAAACTGCATGTAAACCCAGCCATCTGTGGTATATTTAAATAACAGTAAAATATACTCAATGTGTTGTTTATTTCCGTATTGAAATAGGTTCTCTTGGTATTTGAATTTATTTTGAAACGTGCCTCTTCGAGACAAGAAATTCTCCTGTTCCATTGTTCCATTTTTAAATGCTGGAAAATACACATAGAACTGCAGGTGGCCTCGCTTTTTAACTGATTATTTTGTCCTTTTTTCTTCGGCCTGGCAGGAGCCCACTGGCGGGTGAGCTGTTCGTCTCTGAAAGGCCTGTCTGAACAATAAAGTCTCTCCATCTCTCTCTAGGATTTCGACTGAGCATTCGCCCAAACTTCAGATCCGAAGTCACAGCTACCTGAGGGCGGTGAGTGAAGTCTCGATCAACAGGAGCCTGGACAGCCTGGACCCTGCAGGCCTGCTGGCTTCTCCTAAATTCCGATCACGAAATGAGAGCTACATGAGAGCCATGAGCACCATCAGTCAGGTTGGTGCATTAGGCTTGAGGAGATCTTCTCTAAGCACCTGTTATACCTTCGAGGCTTGTTTGCAGGAAAAAAATAAAATCAAGCGCTAATTAAGTTGACTGTTTCCAGCTATTCTTCTCGGGCTCAGCGAGAGGAGTGAAGTTCACAGCACTAATTAGCAGGAAAGAAAAGGCTAGCTCCACTCCCACTGCACTGCTGTCTGTGGAGCGGATCAGCGTGCTCTGGAGAAATATCCCAGTCAGGCAATATAAGTTCATCCAAACAGGCAGCACGAAATAGTGCTTCAAAAAAAATAATTGAGAAGATACTTTTATGGGCCAGTTTTATAAATGTGATACCTTTGAAAGAAATTCAACTGAAACAAGAACACTAGAGCAGTTACAAATGTGAGTAGCCCTTGAGCCTGTACAACCCTCTTGGTACATAGCTCATTCCAGCCGTTTCCCAGATGAAGCCAGGGTAGCTTGATCGATCCCCCTACAAACCTTTAAGCAGAGAACTGTGTTCTGTTTTTGGTTTTAAATATACTTCTAGAAAGATTTCACTTGTGTCCTGTAGTTTGTGATTCACTGTTCATTCTGAAGAAGTCCACTGGCTTTACTTTGTCGGTTCATCTGAAAATTCTGAACACTCGTATCAAGTCCCTTTGTGGTGTTTTCTTTGTTCAACATTTAAAGGTTCTGGTGCTTTAGCCTGTCAGTGTAGTACATTCCTTTAATGTTCTGCTTGTATTGAACTAGGAAACAAAAAATATTATTTAGTTCTCATATCCCTAAACCTTTCTAAAATTCTGGAATTTGAAGAAAAATGTTAATTATTTTTAGTTTCCTGGTAATGTTTGTTAATATAATAAAACCTGTTTATGTACAGGCCTTTTCATTACCGAGCAAATATGATGTCAGAAAATAATTCTTACTGCAGTATGCTTCCCATATTATTATGCAAAACAGTCTCTCTTCGTGCACAAATTTAACTACTAGAGATTATTTGTCATGGTGTTCTAAATAATGATAGAAATTAAACATGAATACAAGTCTGTCACTTTGTGAACAATTTGCTGCTGTATTTTATTTCATATTTAAGGTCACTCCTCCGAACAAAGGGGTTAGCTCTGTTCTCAGGATTGTGATGTCACAATGCAGTTGTCAGAGTGATTTACACCGTGAAATAAGTAGAAACAAGTCCTTGGTCAAAATAAGGAAACAAAGACAACTTACAGGAAAGGACTTCTTTTTCATGTTTTTGTTGCAGTTAACTAACCTACTGTTTTGTGTGAGAAGCCTTTCTTTAAATATCCCAATACCTTTAATCAACATAAAGCACAAGGAAAGTGAGGTTAGTAAAGGGAGTGTAGAATTTCATCTCTTACATGTAGAAATGTGGATTGAATAAAAGAGGGGCACTGTGGTGCACTGTGTGTAGCACTGCAGCTTCACAGCGCTGGTGCCCTGGGTTCAGTTCCTGGGGTACTATATGTGTGGAGTTTGTGTGTTCTCTCTGTGTTCAAGTGGGGATCCTCTCGGTGCTCCAATTTCCTCCCGCAGTCCAAAGACACACTGGAAGGTTAATTGGCTCCTGGGACAATTGGCCCTGGTGTTTTCTACGGGTTTCTCAAACAGTTCAAAGACATGGTGTCTAAATTAACTGGCATAACTGTCCACGTTCGTCTCCTGTATGTGTTTTTGTGTATGCACTTTTAATGGACAGACGTCCTGTTCAGAGTTTATTCTTCCTTGGATCCATTGAGCTGGATTAGGCTCAACTCCTGTATTGGAGTAAGCAGTCAAAATGGAAGGATGAGTGGAGACTTAGTTTGGCGGTGTAAGAAATAAGATAAATACTGTCGCAATGTACCTGTACAACACATTCCCGGCTCAGTTGCATTTATTCATCTGGTTTTTATAAATCTGCCTGATGTCTGCAGTTTTTTTTTTTCAGTGACTGGAGAGAGCCTTACAAGGAAAGGGCTTTCAGGTCATTTAAAGCCCTGGTGTTAGTTGATTAAATAACTGTGTGGGGTCTCAGGAGACCTAACTCGTACTGTAGCAACAGAAGAAATGACAAAGTCGATCCGTGCCAGGCGCCGGACCTACTGCAGGCAGCAGTACGTTCCGATGCAGAGCCGAGCAGTCACGCTACCAGCTGTCCTCCATGTGCCAGCTGTGCCTCTGTGTCCCCAGGTGAGCGAGGTGGAGGTGAACGGCCAGTTCGAGTCGGTGTGCGAGTCCGTGTTCAGCGAGATGGAGTCCCAGGCAGTGGACGCCCTGGACCTGCCCATGCCCGGCTGCTTCCGGATGCGGAGCCACAGCTACGTGAGGGCCATCGAGAAGGGCTGCTCTCAGGACGACGAGTGCGTCTCCCTGCGCTCCGCGTCGCCCCCGCGCACCACCACCACCGTCCGGACCATTCAGAGCAGCACCGGTGAGTTACCCGCAGCGCGCAGCGGTGGTGCGCACCTGCCTCTGGGCTGAGGCGGGGAGGACGGCGAAGAGCGGCTAAAAGCATCGGGATAAAACAGACAAGCCAGAGTCAAGGAACGAGGAAAGGTTAATTCCACGAGGAAAATTAGAAACACAGCATTTCAGCACAAATGATTTTTAGCAATAGCATGGTAGTAGTAACAGTAGTAACAGTCCATACGTATTTGGACAGTGACAATTTTTGGTTTGGCTCTGTACACCAGCACATTAGATTTAAAATTAGATTTTTCAAATCATACTATGAGTAGTCGGAGTGTTCAATTGGGGGAAAAAAAACGCAGTTGCCAGTCTGTTCCACTTACGTGTATTTATTAAATAAGTGTTCATGATTTTGACAGAAATGCAGCGCTCAGATCCCATTCCTGCCATGGTTCATTTATATATGGATAAAAGGTACATATATTAGTAATATTTGCAGAACCCATGAATAATTTAAGTGCAGTCATTTCAGTTCTAAGCAGTTCTTTATGATGTGAATTCAAAATAAATAGAAGATATTCACTTAACGCTTTTTCTATCCAGTTGACTCCTTAAGAGAATTAGCTTCATGGCCAATTATTTAATGTTCTACATTCATAGATGTTTTACATTTTAATCTAAAGGTAATTTGTGTTTCTGATTATAAAGGTGGCCTGTTCACATTTCTTTGAGAAGTAATTTGGCTCTCCTTTCCTTCAATGACCAAGTAGGTTTTAGGAAGGTATAGCCTGTAACCATACCACTTTGTATTGAGATTTCTGTGGAATACAAAATATAGTTCAAAGAAGCCCGTGTATAATAGATTTCACACTTTTAGTTTCACACATTAACTATAAAGGGGTGGCAATGTAATTCAAAAATTTGCCAGCCAGAAGAGAGAAAATTCAAATGGATACAAGGGAGATGTTTCCTTGCAACTAATGTATAGAAAAATAAAATAAATAACTCGATAAAAAAGTAATAAATCAATCATAATACTGTTACCGGGCTGAATTACCTTCCCTGAGGTTCAACGTACATAGTAATGTATTGTTTCAGACAAGACAGTGCAGGCAGTGTACCAAATAAAAGAAAAAAGTAAAAATGGTAAAAATATATATGATTAAAAAATTAAATTGTTAAAAACATCATTCAGCATATTACAAGTTAGTTAAGATGAAAGAAGATGGCCTAATTCAGCAGTGTAGAAAGAAACATACACAGTATAGTAAACCTGATGTTCAAGCCATTTTTCAACAGCACAAAAGCTTGCTGTGTTGTTCTATTTAACAGGAATAGAAACACTTTTAAATGTTTTCCTTTGTGCAGGTAGTACATTCCACAGGCTTTGAATTTTTCAAGTTTTAGAACATATGGAAGCCATAGTGCAGTGTGTGCTGGAGAATGAGATTCTTTTCTTCCAAGCTGAGTCCAGGAACATGCCTTTGTGACGTTGTAATCTGTGCGTCTCAAAGTTCTTTCGCGTAAAATACTGCTGTGGTTAAAAGCTGCAGTGGTGTTTTTCGTGTTCAGCAAAGAAAATGCTGGCACGCTGTGTGTTAAGTGTGTCCTCTCCTCATTTGGTTGTAAATATGCTCTGAGCAGCAGTCGTGTGATAAGAATGATGTTTCATAGCTTGAGACCGTTTCTTAAATCTTCGTTCCATGACGAAAAGCTGTTCTTCGCTCATGTCATTCGTTTTTACCCTAACCGTGCAATCTTTCACACTCTCATATTCCATCCATTTACTGTGTTTGAAGACCTCCTGGAAAGATCTGTCCTGTACTCTGTCCTTTGTTCCCTCCATCTCCGCAGCATGTCAGCAACACATCCATCATTTCTAAGAAATTCTGTCTCGCTCTCTGCTCTTCCACAGCACATTCTAATTACAGATTCTTCCACTGCCTGTTCATGAATTCGTCACTCCCTCGACTTGTACAGCGAGCTGGTCTGTTTTATTCCATATATTGGAAAAAAAAAAACACCCAATACTTTATCTTAAAAAAACAATTGCTGCCCCCTAATGGCCCAGTTCACTCCAGTAAATGTTTCACTTACTGTACCACCAGCTACATGTATTTTTGGTGGTAGAAACACCAAACCCTACACTTTCACCTCTATCACATAAAAGAAAAGTGGCCATATGGGCTGATATTTTTCCAGCTGTAGTATGAGCCACTGAGCACCCAGAGAGCCAAACACTGCTTTTACATGAAAGTCTCTCTGTGACCAGGGAGACAGCACAAGATACATTGTGTTGCTATTTGCAAGACTCTTCTCCCTTGTAAATGTATGCAAATTACACTGTTTATGTAATGTACTTAATAACACACCTCAGCATTTTTTTTTCCGTTCAGAAATGAACCTGCTTAGTAGCATGTAATTTGGATTATAACCCGTGAGTAGCCTTATGAGCTGGTGGGAGAAAGCAGGGTTGGAGCTAAAGATCTGATGCGTCTATGACGGCATCCCAATACATTCAAGAGAAATTCTTCATTTTGTTTTGTTTTGTGGGTGATGTTAAGAGTTCTGTTGTCCACAAAACTCTTAAGTTTAAACTCGTAAGATCTTAAATCAATGTGCTGAGCTTAGATGCTGATTAAACTTAGTTTGAAGGAAAAACTGCTGTGCATTTGCAATATTATAGTATTATATTATCTTCAGATAACAAGTTCCTTTTTGTGCAGATTTAAGGCTATGCATTAGAATTCCAATTCCATCCAGCAGGCAAAAGTGCAAGATATAATGCCCCCCCTTTATCCAAGCCAGTTGCTGTTTTGTTTCATTGGAAAGCAGGTATTTTATTGTCATTGGCTGCCAAGCCAGGTTTCTGTTCATTTCTCCCAGGGTGAAGTGACATGCAGGTGATATAACCTCGATGGATGTCAGAGGAGAGCGTGTGGAGTCTAACAGAACATTATTTAAGCAATAAAACCCAGCCCAGTGGGGATGATTGTAGAATACTGCCTTGCTTTTGGCAGTAATGCCGTTTTTTAGTTCCAATTAATTTATTCTTGTTTTTGATTGCTTCTATTTCCCTATGGAGAAATACACTCCTTTAAAAAATAAGCCTCCCACTGTCCCCTTCCTTCTCCACTGCTGGTCAGCTGGGCTCAAAGAACAGATTTTAGTAGTTGCTGACATTTACATGTAATTAGCACCAAATTCTTAAGCTCATGAAGAGCTTAAGAATTTGGAGTCAGATGACTAAAAGTGCCACCAAATGGAAGGTACCACAGTCCAGAAACATGTTCTCTGTAATGAAAAGGTGTTGCTTGTAATAGGACCTGTTTGTGCATTGTATATGCACTTATGTATAAATGTCAATATTACTCTCTGGAGCGTCACAAAATCTTTTTCGGTTTGGTTCCATCTGAGTCGTCAGTTTCTTGACTAGTCTAGTTGAAGGAACTGTTCAAATAAACCAAACAAATATTGTTTTTCCCCCCAGCCCTTAGAATGTTTTTAGTTCATTATTTAGAGCACAACATACAATGCACCAGAAGAACCTGTGAATTTGAGGACAGACTTGACAAAAAAAATAATTGAAAGCCCATTCTCTCTGAGATTTGAATGATCTCTGCAATGTAGAGGACCAACGCAGCGTCCTGCAGTACACTGGTTTTCATGCAAGAAACTCTTTGCAATTAGGAATCAGTTTCCCAGTGCAGTTCCAAAACTGTTCCCAGCCTGTTGTCTACACCAGCAGCTTCGTGGTTTACTTTCCATCTCATTCACGGTCATATTTATTGAACCAGGATCTATTTTTATTACACCTTTGTAAAAAAAAAAGCTTTGGAAGTATGATTATGATTGTTCATTTACGGTGCTGTTTAACAACAGAAAGTGAAATAATATTAACAAGAAGGACCATGACACCATATTTGGAAAGCAATGTACAGCTTGTGCCATCAAAGAAGACTGATCCTTCTCTTCCGAATTATTGTTTGTTTGTGAATTATTGTTTGTTAGGTGTCACTTAAATCCATTATACTTAGGTAAGCAATTAAAATTAAATGCATTCAGCATGAGTCAGAGAATTGGAAGCTAACAGTATTTCCCTGAACTGTGCAACTCCCAAATTACATAATATATTTAGTCCTTGCTGTGTGGAAGTAGATTTCTCTGAAGGGAACAGCATTCAGTCTCTCTAAGGTCTGCGTTGAAACATGCATAGCTGAATTAAGATGTGATGTACATTCTGAAGCAGGTGCTTTTATTTCCCATCTTCCTCACTGCCTGGAGCTAATGAAAGAAGACATATGGTGTGGATCCTAAGAGTGCTAGGGAGAATCTTGTGGAATTGTGTCCTATTATTCTTAATATTTTATGATGGCCCTAGTATTGAAAAAATCTTAGCGCTTTTAGAATTATTGTGACCATGTAGGAAGAGAACTCAATCGGACCTCCAGTGCAGATAAAGAATGAACACTTTTTTTTGTCTTGCCCAGATATATTAAAACAAAATGTGCATCCAGATTCTAAAGCAGACCTCCCATTGTAAAAGTCCTGACGTAGTTAGAATTGTTAACTTAAAATGTTGACGGAGTTTTATTTATTAATAAATAGTGTTAATATTCATTTTGTTAATACAAATATTGTTAGAATATAACTGTGGAGTTGTGGACAACAAGCTGGGAAGAGGTCAAGCCTTGATCTCACCCTCTTCCACCTCCCTGCAGGTAAATATCACAATTCTAGACTACCTGCCTGCGCGTTTCATCTCACGTTACCCCTCAGTGGCTCGTTCATGCAAGAGACAGACCCTCCTGTGCTGCTCTCTATGACTTCCTTCTGCTTCCACCTGCTCAAAGGAAACCAGATCCCGCATTCCTGCCTCCTCAGTCCCCTTGCTGCCTTAGGGTGGGGGTTCCATCATTCCTGTATTCACCGAAAAGTCAATGGCCCAGCCAGGCGATCTAGTCAATAAAAAAGCAAGTTTAAATCACACCCCTTCTCTGCCTTACTTAGAGATTAGCTGAA